AAAGGCCTTTTAAAGAATCACATGTGAAAATGTTGGCAAAAGGCAACAGGCCTCCCACCCCGCCCCACCAGCCAAGGCAGTCTCCCAATAGCCACTCCTTTCTTTTCCTTTAGAGAAATACTGTGTAAACATAGGGACAGCTGCTTGGCAAATATAACTTTGCCTGTAGCCTGTAAAGGCAGGAACTGACCTCTCCTTGACCTAATTCCCATCAATGCACTGGTCAAATACACTCACCTCCTTCTCCTCCATGCTTGTTGACAAACCTCACTAGGAATAAATGCACATGGGCGGTTGTTAAGCGTTTAGAAAGAAGCAGCTAAAATAACAAGAGTGAAGCCACACCACGTGTGAACTACCTGTTGAGCTGATGAGGTAGGAAACAGGCAGTGGTGGTGGGCTTGCTGCAACAGGCATTTTTGCATCTGTCCATATTGTGTAACTCACATCCCTTTACCACAGAGCCAGATTGTGGCCCCTGCTTCATTTTGCATGCTGCAGAGCAATCAATACAACAATTTGTATAAAATGCTTGCTCCCTCCAATGGCAGCAGGGCCGGCCCGCTTACTAGGCGAGCTAGTCTCTTGCCTAGAGCGCGGAGCCATCATGGGGGCGCCGGACTGAGCCACCTGAGGGCCCTGCCGCTGCCAGCCCACCTGCACCTAGGAAAAGGGTAGGATGGCTCACAGCTCCAGGTGTTCTCTGTTAGCTACTATAGAAGAAGCCAGGCCCTGGGCTGCCAGGTGGCCATAGGGACAAAAAGGGCACTGAGGTCCAAAGGCTTTCTCTCTCTTTTTTCCTGTTGCTGGGAAGGATGAGAGAAACTGCACATTCTTCCTGCATCGGCAGAGGCCATTCTTACCAATTTGATTTCTGGGGGGAAATGTGTTGTTATGTACCCCGTTTTGGGGAACATTTCAAGTATGTACTTATTAAATTTCCAAGCTGACTTATTAGAATTAGGGTAAGTGACAAGGGACAGAGCTAATCGGGGGACCAGGAAGGCCATTGGCCCTGGGCCTCAAGCTCAAAGTGGGCCTCGACTTTATATAAGATATGTTTTGCAACTTGTTTTTATCCACATCAAACATCATTGTTTTTTATTTGATGACATTAGGGACCACAAAAGCTTGAAGTAGCCTGGCCTCCTTGGAGTCCATGTACTGCAGGGATCAGAGTGCTGGACTATGACAGGAGAGACAGATTCAAGGCCCTGTTCTGCTACAAAACTCATGTGGCAACCTTGTTGTCTAGCCTAACCTACCACACAGGGTTGTTGTCCATTGCCCTGAGCTTCTTGAGGGAAGGTCGGGCTAAAGTGTAATAAAGAAAGCCGTTTTTAAAACAGGATAAAATTTAGACATGAATGTTTAGGTGAAATATCTACAACATTACTTCTGGCTAGAAAGAAATTTGGGGGGCATGTTAATATTTTAAAAAGAACCTCAGATCAAAATCATTTCTGTTCAGATGGTTCTTTCCTTGAGGCTACATAATCTTCAGCTGCCAGGTCCACACAAACCCAGAGCAGATCAGGGACTGAAACCTTTTATTTAAAACCCATAGGCATAAGGCAATTTACAAAGGATAAAAATGCAAGCAAGCTTTGCTTTGCCCACCTGGCTAGCTTTAACGGAAGAAAAGCCAGTGGTCTGCCAAAAGAAAGCAGGAAATTCCTCTCAGACCATTGGAGAAGCCACCCTGTCCCTAAGCCAGGGAATTCAGCTATAAGGCAACAATACCATTCCGTTGTCAGACATTTTAGTGAATCTGCACAGAGAATGCTCCACTCTCTAAGACCCAGAAGGCATAAAAAGAAGGAGAAAAAGGAGATAAAGGAGTCTGCTTTTGGAAGCCAGCTGGAATAGTTCGTTTCATTTGTTCAGTTCCTCATAGCATAAGAAAAAGGGTGTGGAGTGTTTTATGTTTCCCCTTCTTCAGAGTACTTGGCTCTCCTTGACATGCTCTTTGCCAGACAGCAGTTTCCCCTGGTCTACTGTTGCATTAAGGGGGGGGGGGACAGACCGGTTCCTCAAGAAGGAGAAATAGAGGAGTCTGGGGTTTTGGTGGCACCACTGGACAATGCTGCCCCTGTTGGTCATTCTAGATCTCTGCCTGGTCTTGGACTAACTGGGATCAATACAGATTGTCACAGTCCCTATGTGGCTGGTGGATACCAGCCCACACATTACTCATAATATTTCCTTCTGTAAGCACTCAAGCTAAGCAGGGTCAGTTAGTTAGTACTTGGCTGGGAGACCACCAAGAAAGTCCAGGGTTGTTACACAGGAGCTGGCAATGGCAAACCAACTCTGTTCAAGTGAGTTTGACAGGCAGTTTGGTGTAGTGGTTTGGGGCGTGGACTCTAAACTGGGAGAACCAGGTTTGATTCCCCATTCCTTCACATGCAACCAGCTGGGTGACCTTGGGTTAGTCACAGTTCTCTCAGAGCTGTTCTCTCAAGGACAGTTCTCTCAGAGCTCTCTCAGCCCTACCTACCTCACAGGATGTCTGTTGTGGGAAGGGGAAGGGAAGGAGATTATAAACTGCTTTGAGACTCTGAGTGAAGGGCGAGGTATTAATCCAATCTCCTCCTCCTCCTCTTCTCCTCTTGCCTTGAAAACCATTACGGGGTTTACCAAAACTGGCTGTGATTTGATGACATGTTCTACCATCAAGCATACCATCTGTAAGCACTCGTCAGGCATTTGTCTAGATTCTAAAAGTCAAGACGCAAGGTATTTTGAGGGCAGCCTTGCTACAAATCCATTTATGTTTTATGATGGAACAGGCTTGTCCTGTATTGAACTTGCAGTGAAGCACCAAACTTCATTTGGAGGGAGATTACACAGGCACCCCATTATCTGACTGGTACAAAAAGTAAACTTCCAGCCCAGGAGATACTCTAGAAAAATGGGCACCAAGCAGGTAACCATTTGGCACTCACCCTAACAGGTCAGTCATTAGCCAGCCTATTGGCCTAACAGCCTATCGCTGGGTACCAAGACTGGGTGCGGGATAGAGGGGGGTGGCTGATCCTTCTCCCTGGCAGAGAGATGCCTGCAGAATTTGAGTAAGCAGCTGTGGGGTTTTTTGGTATTTTGTAGTTTTTCAACTTTTCTGTAGATTTGCCCACTACCTATTTTGTGCCCATGCTTCGTAATACAAACTGTAAAATTTGCCACTTTGAATGGAGGGACTTTCTGGAGTAACTTACCCATGTGCCTGCCCTTCTAAACAGTCTGGAAAAAGAAAAGTGGGGACCCTAGCCCTTTCTCACATACACAGAGAGACAGGCATACGTTTAAGAGTATATCTTAAACTGATATTGAGCAGTCTGGATTTGAATTTTTTTAAAGGCTTACCTCCAAGTAGTGGCATGTAGAAATTACCAAGGCTATATCTCTGGCTTCAGAGAAATGGAGGGATCCATATGCTTCGGGGTTTACTAGCTTGTACAAGAGCTGGCAAGAGACAGCCTCCTGTTTGCATCCGTGTTCTTTTAAGCAGGTTATGTCCTTGAAGATAGGACTGTTGTGTCAAGCAGCTGAATGCAACTTAAGTACAAAAACTAGGTTTATTGTATAACTTAAGCAGGTACAACAACTTCTGTATTACTCACTCAGGTAGACTGGACCCAGGCCAAATTCCCTCCAACTTTTTGTTTCCCATCCTATCAGACTACATCTACCAGCAAGCAGTGTTTCCAACTATGTTTTATAGCCACTGCTATTTCTAAGAAAACCACCACAAGGACACGAAACCAGAGAGACCCAAATTGATATAGCGGTTAAGAGTGTGGACTGTAATCTGGGAAAACCAAGTTTGATTCCCCACTCCTCCTCATGCAGCTGCTGGTGTGACCTTGGGTCAGTCACAAGCTCTCTCAGAGCTGTTCTCTCACGAGCAGTCCTCGAAAGAGCTCTCTCAGCCCCACCTACCTCACAGGGTGTCTGTTGTGGGGAGGGGAAGGGAAGGGGATTGTAAACCGCTCTGAGACTCCGAGTGAAGATTGAATTCAATCTCTTCTCTCTTCTCTTCAGAACTCCCAAAGCAGAAATGCTGGCATTCTGTACACATATGTCATATGGTCAGGGGTCGTTTCGTAGAAAAAGAGCTAGGGGAACTCATTAGCATATGCCACACCCCCTGACATCAGGGGCCCGGCGGTGGACCTGCAAGGCCGGCGGGAGTGCGAGGAAGCCCCGCCAAGGCCCTCCCTGGCCCCAGGCAGGCAGGGGTGGGGAGAGGCTGGGAGGAAGCAACTTACCCTCCCTCTTCTCCTGCCTCCTCCTGGCTGAATGAGGGCCGGAAGCGGGGCGGCCGGAAGCAGGGGGTGGGGCTTCGTCATGTGCCCCGCCCCCCTGCACCTCACCCGGGGGAACTGCGATCCCCCGCGATCCCCCCCGAAATGACCTTTGCATATGGTAACAGCACATTCATTCGGTAGAGCAAATCATAGCTCTGAAGGTTGTCGTTGTGGTGCTGACGGGGATTTGCATCAGGAAAACATCATGGGGGCGAGGTTAAACATCCCCTACAAGGCCCTGATCCAAACTGGATCCCATGCAGTTGCAATTAACTTTTTTTTACCAAGGAAGATCCTGATCACAGATCTTTTGTACCAAATATAGGAGAGGCCCCTTTGTTGCCTCAAACAGACAATAAATTAAATGGGAAGAAATATTTCTCTCTCTTTAAAAAAAGTGTAGTTAAGCCCTGAGGCTATCTTTCACAGTTAATACATAAACATTTGAACCTGACATAAACATTTGATCCTGGCTTTTCAGTAAGAAGTCTTTGGAGGTATTACTAAAGTTCCTTGTATTTGTATTAATAAGGTGCCTTGTGGGCACCCCTCCCTGCTGTGTTTTGTCGTAGGGCAAAAGGGAGGCTGGTTCCAGTTAATGTGTAACAGGCTCCTTTACCTTTTACCTTTGCCAGATGCAACCTCCATTTTCTCAGGCACCTGCCACTCCCTCAGCACACAGACCCAGGAAGAAGACTGAGAGTGACAGAGAGAAAGAGAGAGAGAAGAGAGACAGAGCACTCCCAACCTGGCATAATTCCCGAGGTAAAAGCTTTTCCCTCTGGTAGGGAGTATTTGGGGGAGAGTGGGGGCCAAGCAAAGGTGGCAAATATTTCAAAGAGAAACAATAATTCCTCATAGCAATGTACTTTTCTGACCTAGGAGCAGAGGAATGTCTTTCCTGGCATTGGAAAGCCAAGTTTGCTGCATGGAGGGGGGGGGGGTAAGGTGATCTTAGGTGTTACCCAGCATCAGGAAACCAGTTTTTTTTTTTTCCAGAACAAGGCAAGCAATAAAGTGCCTTTGCATTCTGGTGTGTCTTGTATGCAGCAATGTGAACAAATGACATTCGTTCTGTGTAACCACAGCTTACAGAGCCTGACATCAGATTTAAAGATTTATAATGAACAGTACAGAGTCAGGAAAACATTACTATTTTAAGAAGGTCAGTGCTTGATTGGACTCAGCACTTCCTCCTCCCAATCTAATTGGTTGTTACCTATCTCACTTTCCTCAGATTCAGTCCCAGAAGGTTCAGAATGTCAGATTGAAGGAAGCAAGGCAGGTGGGGAAGTGAGGCACAAAACTGAGGCTCCAAATTTAGTCCAGAGGTCAAATCAAGAACTTAGTCCTTTCATAGAGCCAGTAGAATGGTGATTTAGATATTGGAATGAAGAAGGAGCATGCTCTTGAGCAGTGTTCCCTCTAAGCTGAGTTAGTGTGAGCTAGCTCACAGTTTTTTAGCCTCCGGCTCACACATTTTTGCCTTAGGAAGGATGGCTCCAGAGCAAACTAATTTATGCAGTAGCCAAATAGCTTGCTCACAACTTTAAAGCCAGTAGCTCACAAAGTAGAATTTTTGCTCACAAGACTCCACAGCTTAGAGGGAGCATTGCTCTTGAGGGATGGACAGGAAATGGAGAATAAAGAAACCAGGCCGCGTACAGTAAAAGCAGATCACTGAGTTCCAAGAGGCAATGGCAAGGCAGAAATTCAGGCCTTTCTTTCCTGACTGAATCTTGATACTGAGTTTGTGTTCTGATCTTAATCCTGCATTCTTGTCCTAAGCCCTGTAACTGTAAAGCCCATTCCCTTTCTTAGTTCTGTACACCTTTGTGTGCATGCACACATGTAATCTGAATCATAAGGGAAGTTGCATGCTATCTCTGTATTCCCTGAGTTGACATGTACCACCACCTTTATTTACATGATGGAGGCATGTTCTTTCAGTTTTACCATACTCCGACCATGTCATCACCTTCATACCCTGGGGGTGGTCTATGGGGTTGCTGTATCATGCTTCTTTTTCTTTCTTTTGCAGCTCCTTGAAGGAAAATGGCAGATTCCTGGTACCTGTGGGTCTCCAGCATTGCCTGGGTCTGGTCTGTGGTATCAGCACATCCCTGTAACATTGACCAACAGGTGAGCAAGGAATGCAGCTGTTAGGCCCAGGATAATTTCAAGTCAAGTCAAGTCAAGTCAGCCTTTATTGGCTTTCAAATTTGATCCTTCCATGTGAGACTTAGTTCCAGGGTCATCCTGACCACCTTATTTGATAGAATTTCAGCACTGTGGAAAGAATTGGTCCTAGTTGTCATTTATGGCAACTGCTTTTGCCTTCAGCCTGGCTTATTTAGTTGCTTTTTAATAATGAACTAGTGTCATAGAGTTGGGTGTCCTGTGGTCTGATCCTGTACACATTTGTTCAAATATAAGTCCCATAGAATTAAATGGAATTTACTCTCAGGTAAGTGTACATAGGGTTGCAGTGAAGTAACCACTCCACTTTTACTCAGATACCACATGGATTTATCTTTTTAAAACTGGATCAATAACAATGCTGCAATTGTAAGCAGAATTCTTAGGAAAGTTCTTAAAATGGGCACTGAAAAGGATGAAAATCTTCAATTTTAGCAGTGCCAGCCCCCACATGCTGATCCCTGCTTGTCTAAAAGTGGACTGAGGAGAGAGAGAGAAACAGATTAGCAGGGTCAAAAGGTTAGTGGGGAGGGGGGTTGGTGCATAAACCCTGCATTTTTCAACCAGTGGTTCCTACACTTCCAGTGCACTGCTTAATTGTGCAACCATGAGTGCAGGAAGTCTTCTCAATTTATCAATGTAGTTTTCCAGTACAAGTTCATCACTTAATTAAATGCTTTGCTCTTTGTTTACTTGCTAACTAAAGTCATGACCCTTACAAACCATGACTGCTTTCATAGCAGCATGCAAAACCAACCTTGAACAAATTGGACCATTCGACTGGCTGCAGCTTTCCAGGGCCTCAATCAAAGAAAGCTCTTTCCCAACATTTAATTCTTTAATTGGAGTTGCCAGAGACTGAATCTGGAACTTCTGTATGCAAAACACATGCTGTGTCACTGAACCTCTTTTGGGTTTACTTGGTAAGTGGCTCCAATGACTTTCAGCTTTAGGTAAAAGCTGCAAGATGTATTTTCCTGACACCTAATGCCCAGTGATTCTGCTAGGGAAGGGATTCCTATGTTAACTGATGCTTGAATTTCTTGAGATGCAGGTATTATGTTTTCACAGGGATGGGCCGCTTGCAGTGGGAAGAGTCTTCACCAGGTTCCCAATTCCCTCCCCAGACATATTACCAGCCTGGACCTGTCCTTTAACTCCTTGATGATGCCCAAACATGGAACCTTTCTGAGAAACTTCCCTTCTCTGCACTCCTTAAACCTTTCCAGTAATACCATTCCTACTCTTTATCCAGCACTCTTTTGTAACCTCAAGACTCTCCACCTGTTGGATTTAAGCAGCTGCAGCATTTCCATCATACACCCAACAAGCTTTGTGGGCTTGCAGAACCTTCACACGCTGCTCCTAAAAAACAATAAACTTCAGTCTCTTGACCCCTCCACATTCTCTGTTTCTTGGACCCTTGTTCAACTGGACCTACGAAACAATGAGCTGTCTTCTGCAGGTGAACTCATTCCACTACTTGTGCAACGAATCCATCATGTCAAGCTTCAAGGGACCCCCTGGGTGTACAATGGCTCCATAATTCCTGCCCAGCAAGGGCTGCAAGAAAGAGAAGGTGAGACAAGAAATGGGAAGTGAACTCTAATCAATGTACAAATCAACACATCTCATTCTCAACATGGCCAAATCTGTGGATACTTAAATCCAGAGAATGGGGCCATGAACAGACAAGACAGGTCTTTCTACAAACCTGAAAAAGCCCCAAGTTTGTAGAAAAATCTGAAATCTAAAAATAATTAAATAAAAAAAACACTGGGGGTTAACTCTCCAAATAAAAGAAGCACTGCCTGTAGCTTTAAGAAGTCAACACTTTTTCAGTGAGGGGGTTGCTAGGCAAACAAAACAGTATTGCCAACTGTCAAGCCTTTTTCTCTATTAGTAAAAATCAAAGAAAGGGACAGTCACTTTCCAGGGTTATTTTGGCCTTTGAAGGGAGGCTCATCGGGTCCAGGCGTGACAGCAACCTCCCAACCTGTGTGACTTGCCTAAGCCTGGCTGCTTAATTCTGTTCAAAAGGAGCCTTCCCACAAAAGCCACAGTGATGTAGTGGTTAGAGGTTCAGACTAGGATCTGAGAGACCCAGGTCTGAATCACCACTCTGCCCTCGAAGGTCACTGGGTGACCTTGGGCCAGTCACACATTCTCAGCCTAACCGACCTCACAGGGTTGTTGTGAGGATAAAATGGAGGGGAATGATGCAGGCTGCTTTGGAAATAAATAATCAATATGGTTGAACATGGGTAGCAGATGAAAGGTAGGTAAGGTGGTTGGTGGGAGGGAAGGTGGCATGGTATAGCTCAATCTGATCAGATCTCAGAAGCTGAGCAGGGTTGGTACTTGGAAGGGAGACTACCAAGGAAGACTCTGCAGAGGAAGGCAATGGCAAACCCCCTCTGCTTCTCACTTGCCTTGAAAGGTCCTTGCTGGGGTTGCTATAAGTCAGTACAAACAGCCATAAGTCGGCTGTGACTTGACGGCACTTTATGCGCACAGGTTGGTAGGTGGGTGGGATGAGATGGGTGTCCTGCTCTCTGTAGTCAGGTTGCCTTGAAAGGGTACTGAATGCTGGGGGTGGTGGGGCTTAGGTCACAAGGCTTGTACCTGGTAGACCAGTTGATCCAGGAGAAAGAAAAGAGGAAATAACTTTCACAACCATACACAGTAATGAGTAATACTGTGGTATGAATTATCATGATCTTGGTCACCAGAGACACATCCTTACACTTAAGGATCAATCAATCAATTTATTTCTACAGTCCTTAGACCAGTCATACAAAAAGAAGTACACCTTTACAGTATTCCAAGATTTTAAGATACATCAGTGACACATTAAAAGCAAATTAAAATTTAATCTAATATCAAACAACTATATCTAACTAGCTACCTTAGAGTCACTTAAGGATCTTTCCTAGCGCCTTTGTGGCTGCTCCTCCCAGTTTCGACCTCCTTCTGATTTCTTGGCCTCAGTCTCCCTTTTGGTTGACGATGGAGCCAAGGAATAGAAAACCTTGAACAATTTCAATTTCTTCATAGTCAACCTTAAAGTTAAACCTGCAAGTTAAATCTAATCCAGCTTTCCTTGTGGTATGTTCTGCAGACAGATTGAGAAGTGACTTTAGACCACCTGAAATTGGGGAGTGGGTGAAAAGTTTTTGATCTGATGTGCTATCTAAGACTTTGTAAGAGACTGACGACTCCTGTTACACCAACAGAATGGAGGTGGGATGGAACCAAAGTCAGTCTGGAGATCCACATGTTAATTCTTGTATTTCCTAGTTAAACAGATCCTCTATAAATCACATCCAGAAGTCAAAACTCAGGAAGCTACTATTCTTGGCTATCAGGATATTGTCCATAGACGAAAACATCGGATCCGTCGGAATGAAAATGCAAGCAGCTCAACTCCATCAACAAATGACAGTAAGGCTGAATCAATCTATGGTATTTAAAGCACTTTTCAGCCCCTTTCCTGCTATCGGTGTGCATGTGCGAAAAACAGAAAGGCAGCTCCAAATATGTGAATGTCAAGTTTCTGAAATGTGCATCTGAAGTGCCCTGGGCTTTTGAATCTATTAACTGCCATGTAATAAGTTTGATTTATAACTGCATTTCAGCATTCCTACTTGCTACCAAGTGTGTGTGATTTGGGCCTAAGCAAAGGCCTCTGATCCAGATTAGAACAGATTTGTGTGGGAAAAGGTGGTCTTTCAGATACCCTGGCCCCAAACCATTTAGGACTTAAGGACCACCATTCTGAATTGTGCTTGGAAACGAACTAGCAGCAAGAAAAATCCTTTTAGCACTACTGAGATATGCTTCCACAATAGTATGCCAGTTATCAGTTGCACCTGCAATCTGTACCAATTTGGAGCTTTTGAATAGTCTTCAAAAAGCCCATAACACAAACTCTATAATAGCCTGATACCTGTTGCTTTGACTGCTAACCCAGATGGACTTAGAAGACTGGCAGGGCAGAGAGGTACCATTGTGCCAAAACAACTACATTAGTTGTCAACCTCTATCATTTTTAATGAGACATTTCCTATAGTATTTCCTGTTTACTGGATACCATTGCTTATTGGAGTAACAATCTGATTGTTTGTGCTCCTGGAACAGCTTTAACTAATGGGAGAGTTAGCTGATCCCACATACCAGCTTCACCACAATTGTTAGAAGCTTTTTCTCTTCAATGGTGGATATGGTCAGAGCAAAACAAAAGTCTCTTGTATGGTTACAAGAAGTTTAAGAAGCCTGAGGACATGGCCACATGCAGTAGCTCCTGCTCCCACTGGATATGGTAGCATACAACCAGATGAGCAGCCAGTGTCCAGGGTACTGTTTTCCATGGAGGTGCCCCCGCAGGCAGCCCTTATACTGGAAATCGATCCATATCCAAAACAGATCCCATGCGTGGCCCTGTCATCTTTGTGGCTGATTAAAGAGACCAGTGTGGGCTGAAGCCCTGATGTATATGGATATTTCTGTATGAACACATCCAACCAGTGGAATAAGAGCTGTTGTCTAGGTCATCATTAGGCATCTGAGCAGTTTCTTTCTCACCTTCTTTTTCTTCCTACTAACTTTTGCAGATTATTCCCTTTGAGGGAATTAAAACAAAACACAACACAACAAAAATCCCAGAAAACAAAAAGGAACCTACTCAGATGTAGTGATCTTCCATGTGCTTGGATCACATATTTCCTGCCATTGTCTTCTCCAGATTTTAACAACATCTCTGTATTCAAATTTCTTTGACAAAACGCATAATCTCAAAATATCCTGATCCACAAACCAACCAAGGAGGATTTTCACCTTTGTTTTTCTTCAGGTTATCCTGGAGATTACCCTTCATAAACTTTCTTCCAGTCATTCTGAGCCACATTTTATGTCCCTCTTTTATATTAAGCCAAGATTGTATAACCTTGTAAAATTCAAGGGGGGATCAGGCCCCATTGACAGCTTTTGCTTTAGCCGAGTATTGCCATTAATAACTCCCAAATGTAGTCAGATCCAACTCCTGGCCTCTTCTCTCATCCCCCCCCCCCAATGTACTGTGTGCAAATCACTGATACAGAGGAGGCATCTGCCAAATGATAGCAACACCTAATCAATTTTCAAGGCTCAGCTTTCTCCAAAGAAATGGGAGTCATCTTTGTCAGGGAAAATTGCCCATTAGTACAGTCATGATCTTTGCTGTATTCTGGACAGCTCCCAGGCTGGGACTGAATGATTTCTGTTCAAACCTATTGAGTCTGGAGTCAGACCTATTGAGTAAGGAGAGAGAGGCCTAGGAGGGTCTTTCCTCAATGAGAATACAGGCATTTCCTGAATAACCCAGTTCCACCCAACTGTCTTTCCTTTACAGCATCAATGCCACCACCTGGAAAAGTTGCAAACAGCTGGCCATATTTTGCTGGTTTTGTGCTTTTGGCTGTTGGCATCTCCATCGGAATTGCACTAATTGCAAAATGCAAATTGCTCCAGAGGAATCGTGCCAGCTACCACCACCAACGGCTGCCTGATTCCCATTCAGTCGGGAGCAGCCGTACTGAGGATGTACCTGGCTGGGGGGAAGCTCACATGGACATGGCCTATGGGAGAAACCAGCCAATGCCTGGAGCAGCTGGTTGCCTCGCAGAAGATGACGATGGTTTCATTGAGGATAACTACATTGAACCGAGTCATGAAATGAAGAAAGAGGAGGAGGAGGAGGAGGAAGAAGAAGAAATGGAGCCCCATTTCAAACTCTGATGGCCTAGTAGAAAAAAATGGCCCAATTATTTTCACCCTCCAGTACCTGTATTGGGCCTTTCTTTTCCATTATCTAGGTGCTTCCAGTGATCTCACAACAGCGGCTCAATCTTTGGAATTTGATCTCCCTCCTTTAACCACAAGAGGTCGTGCTTTTGAACAAACTTTTCAGTACTCTGAACTGTAGCATGTTTTCAATATCCTTTCACTTGTATAGCTTGATCTTATCCGTTTTTACTCAGAAGTCCCACTTACCCCCACAGAAGTGTGTGTGAGATTGCAGCCTTGGTCTTAGACCTCTATCAGCTTCCCTCTCTGGTCCTGGTTTCTGTATAGCCTCTCTTGCCAACTGGTGTTAAGGGTCTTAGCTGTACTGTATTCTGCAGTCACTGGAGATGGAATGGGCCTTTTGAAATGAGGATTGTAAGAAAAGAGGCTGTAAAACAGAAGATATGTTGCCATCATGTGCCAAGAGCATGGGGGTTGTTCACAGGCTATAGGTGTGCCTGGGAGGAGCTCTTTGTTCACCTGTCTCTTGTGTGTGGCCAAAGCTGGTGTGTCTATGTCAGAAGCACTGGATAGCACTGAAGGCATATTACCATAGTTCTGGCTCTTGACTGCTTGCATTTGTGATCTAGAATGCAGCTGTACAGTTATTATGGTCACCTACGTGATACTTGCCTGTGATGGAAATTATGTCCATGGATACAACTCCACAATAGCATTATATTCATATCATGTTGTAATTTTTCTTCTAAAACATTTTAAAAGGATATGGAGGATGTATATCAGTGTGAGATGAAAGACGGCATAACAGATTTTGTCCAGGGTTTGAAAGTTAGTTTTGCTTTAGTAATAACAAGAGGGGGACCCGCGATACTCGCGGGGGTGGGGAGAAGAGCTCCGTCTCCTCTCCCCCCCCTCGTTCTCCCCCAGGCGGCGGCAAGGCCGCCCCCCCGGCTCCGAGGCAGAGAGGCCTGTCCTCCCCCCCCTTTGCCAAGCTCGGCGGCGGTGGCGGCGGCCGGCGAGGCCTGTCCTCCCCCCCGCCCGCCCGCTCCGAAGTGGCAGCGGCGGTGACGGCGGCGGCAACGAAGCCAGTCCTCCCCGCCC